CAGAGAGCTCTGGCTATTGGTTGATAGAGAACTATAATAAATAAATAAATCCTTTGCACAGCAAACGTGCCTCTTTTTACAGTGGAATAAAAGTCTTCGATAGAATGTTTTGAGTCAATCTAAAAATTGACTCAAATGTGTTCTACTGTATATACCAGCATATAAGAGACCCTATTGCGACAGTCATCTTACGAGAGCCAAGTGAATTTTTTTCATATTATACTCATTTATTTTTTATTTATTTATTAAAACATTTTTACATCATTTTAAAAAGGACAAATGATAAAGACAATTGTATATACAAGCTTTTTATTAATAATCATTAAAAAACCTTACTGGTGCTGGGGAGCTTGTCCTGTATTGCACTGTGTTGTGAGGATTGTGTGTGGCCGCAGACCCAGTCCTGGGTGTGAGGCTCAGGCAGCCCTTGCTGGGGAGGTGGTCCTGGCTGGGAAGGGGGATGTTCTCCATGCAGCCTCTGTGCCTGCCTGTGCGGCCTCCTCCCTCTTGCTTGGTCCCCTGTGCCCATCCACAGTGCTGGTGCCAGCTGTCCTCCCTCACCAACCCCGGCCAGCCAGCTTCCTTGCAGGCCACCATCAGCCTCCAAATTGGAGAGGTACCAAGACCATTAGCTAGAATATGGTAATATGATGTCACAAGAGTCCAGAAGCTTGCAGCTGACGAATACTTGTATATATTTTAGAGTTTCTTGAAACTGTGTAAGAGCCCCCTGAAATTGAAAATAGTAAAGCAAAAATTGGGGGTTGACTTATATGAGGGGGGACCCAAAAGAAACCAGAATCATTCTCTGGGGAGGGCATTGTAGTACATGCTTCCACTGGTAGATGCCTCTTGCAGAGACCCTTCTGCATCAGTCTGCTGACTGGCATCATCAAGTGAACTCGTGGTGCCACATAGTAAATCTTTTTGTTAAACGCCTCTCACTTATTTAGAATTAATGATCTCTTGGTTCTCCAGGTAGATACTCTTATGTATAACACTGTAAGACATCGTCATACATAATGCTAAGGCAGAATTTGTGACTTAGCCCGGTTTACTGTGAAAAAACAACTTGCTTGCTTTTCCCTTTGTGCAAATAGGTAAAACAAACTGGAAATGTAAAGGTTTATGATGTTCAGACATGGAATCCTAGTTGTTGTTGCCAAACTCAGGAATAAACTAGGATTTGTTTTTGGTTTGGACATCACATAAAGCAGCAGTGGGGAATCTTTGATTGCTCCATGCTGCTCTGTTGTCAGAAGATGGAGTTCCAGCAGTGGTAAACAGTTCCATGTCTGTGATATAAAGCTATTTGTTTTACTTACATGAAGGAGGAAAGAACAAGTTGTGTGCATGCACATGCTGGTTATTCCAGGTTAAGGCAGTAATTTTGGCTTATTGCGTGTATATAACATCTTTCACAATGCTTTCATTATTTCTCAACAGGAAAGAATGTCTGAAGCTTCTGAAGTATCTGTTGGAGCAGCTTAAGGCAAAACACCAAAACAAAAATCAGTTTGACAAATTCAGGTCTTACCATGCCAAAACTGCCTTTTTTCATGCATGCACAAAATGGCCCAGGGATGAAGAATGGCCTGCAGCAAACCTTGCTGAATGCTCTCTGAAGTTACTGGATTATTTCCTAAGCCAAGCTTCAGCTTCAGCAGTTTTTTATACCCAAGTTCAACTTTTTCACCAGAGCTCATTATAAAAGCAAAATGTAATGCACTAGCAAAAGTAATTGAAAATTAAAAAAAGAAATGGGTTTCCGGTATTTTCTATGTTTAAAATAGGGAATAGGTGAACTCATAAACAGCCCAAATTAAACTATGCTTCCCTTGAAGTCTGTAAGCAGCTGTTAAATATTTAATACAAGGTACTTATTATTCAGTGGCTTGGCCATGGATTAGGGGGGAAATACTGTTAAGGTGCCATTCTATGTGGCTGCCCGTAACTCTCTGAACCTAGAAGGTTACAGGTGTCTTACTGAGTGTGAAGGCTAGGATTGCCTCCATGATCTCCTTTTATTGCTTTGCCAGATTGTTAGCTTACTCTTGCCCACTGTATGAACATTTAGCAACTCCCTGCTTTCAGTGGTTTTAGTATAAAAATATCACTAGTTTTTCTTCTTTTCAGATTAGGCATTATGATTATTTCAGAGTAACCAAGCACTTAAAATCATACTGGCATCCGTTAATACTGCAAGGGTTAAATGCTACTACAAATGGGAAGATTGAAAGGGCTACTTCAAGTGACAGATTAAATATTTGGACTTGAGATAGCTAAATAGTCTATTTGAGAGTTGCAGAAACAAGCACAAACATCCTAAAAGTTGCCTGAGGGAGCACTGGCCCATATGCAGTAAGACCCCAGACTTGTGCTCCATAATGGCATTTAACATGGTTAAATCGAAAGTTGTGAATGTCATTTAAAGGTGGGAACTGAGCAAAATAGCTATATGCAGTAGCACGGCTGGGTTCCAAAGTCACTGTAAGCTGTTTTAACTGAAGGCCTAGTAGGTAGATGAGAAGACTAGTTTTGCTGCCTTCTCAGATGGCAATTCTGAGCAACAGATTATGCTAATGAACTCACGTTGTGTATCTGCTGTGATAAGGGGTACTGAGAAAATCCTTACTTGATGCCCATTGTTTGAAACCTGAAACAGTGATCTCAGCCATGGCTAGGAGGCATTAGGTGACTATGATATACGTCCAAGAGTTCAAAGGAGATGTATCAGAAGTAACATATTGTAGGGACTAGGCCAGCTTCTTTCAAATTACAGCATTCCAAGGTTATCTCAGGATGTGAATCAGAACTAGAAGAGGTGGGGTCAGAACTCTTAGCTGAAATACCAAGACCTCAGAGGTCTCAGGGGCTGGGAAGAAGGAAAAGATGTGTGTACATGAATGATGGGGTTCTGCTTACATAGAAGTGCTGATCCAGGATGACAAATAGTAGGGGGATGAGTTGGCTGGCAAAGGAAAAAAAAACTTCCTGTGAAACAGGTATACATGCTGCTGTAAGGGAAACAAGGTATTAAAAAGAGGAACTGAAAAATCCTTTTCATATCTATATGTGAAAGTGGTCCATTAACTGAAGTAGACAAATAAAAACATAAAGCAGCTGTAGATGAATGAAAATACTTTATTTAAATTAACAGTTTAGTGCAAACAAACATTTCAGAAAGGAAAAATGCTAGCAAACCAAGTTCTGATAAAAACCTTTATACTGTATTACTGACTTCTCCCATCTGACTTGTACAGATCCAGTATTAATTTACAGCTAAGACTCACAAGGCATTCATAAATGTAACTTACAAGTAACACAATGCAGCACAGAAAAAATAGGGTTCATTTTAAATTAAGAGTGGGGCAGGATCTCAGCCTCATTTTCCCCTTGATCTTACCAGAACTTTGTCATCATAATTGTGTGAAGTAGAATCCTCCTGCAAACTACAAACCATGAAAACAAGAAGGGGCTCTTTTCTTTATTTAAACTGGAAGTGTTTCTCTGCTCTCAACCAAAATGCCTAAAAATGCAAACCTTACAAAATATTTCACATACTTGCTATGGTGTTGTATTAGAATATTTAACAGTAGACAATTGAAAATAATTAAAAGCAAGCATAATTTGCATTATTTCTCAGGTCCACTGATCAAGATACTCAAAAGAAGGTAAAACTTCCAGTTGACAAGCTCCAGGTTGGATTTTTTTTTGTACAAATCCTGTCTGAAAATAAGAAAATGAAATCAGCTTAAATCACCAGATCCCATCATATCTTACATGCAGTGCTATTCCCAATAGCAGAGTCACATTTAGTTTTTAAGAAAAACAAGCAAAAGGTGAGTGAAAATAGACTGAGAGAAAATATGAGAGGAATCTGAAAAGATCTGAGGAAAAGTGAAGGAACACTAGGATTAAGACCAAAGACATCAAAAAGGCAAAGGAAGAACCGCTGCTAAAATGAGCTCAGCTAGGAAAATCTTCCTGACAGCAGGCCCCACACAAGCACAGAGCCCATGTGTGTGATGGACAGAGATCAAGAAGAAGTAAGGTTCCAGGATCATTTCACATCCAGGCAAGGTCAGCCCTTCAGTCCCAAACCTCAGGCAGTGAATCTAGAAGGGCAGCAGATCTCATCAACCTTGCCAGAACAAGTACATGTCTCAATGCTACTTTTGTCCTATGCCACTCTAAGTGAGAAATAAGCTGTCCAGCTGCTTGGAAGATTCTTGCTGGCCACTCTCTAGAGCAGCTGCTGCCATCCACCTTATGTTTCACTCCAAGTAAAGCACAGGCAGGTAGTTCTTTCGGAAAGCCATACCGGTTGCAAGAGACTGCCTGGTGGCTCTCTGGAGCACTGTCCACCTATCAGTTTGCTCAAAGGAAGGGTGGCAGCAGGTGCTCCAGCTCTTGCTTTGAGGGATCCTTCATGAAAGCTAGGCATTGGAAGGGAGGTGGCACTGGAAATTACCCACAGGCAGACTGCAAGTGCCTACTTGCTAGCATGCAGCTCTCACAAAGAACCACATAGGGTAAGTTACTGAGCACAAGACCTATGAAGGCAGCTAGCAGGTAGGACGGGGCAAGTGGGAAGAGGAGCAATGATGATTTGTGCACCTTCTCACTGCTTGTGCTCTTGTTATGAGTTCCTGCATAGATGCAAGCTTACTCTTCATTCCCTAGCCCTTGGTAGCAGCAGTTGTATTCTTCTTTCCCTACTCTCCAGTGATAGTGGCAGCAGGCACTGGCCAGAATCAGAAGTCCTCAGCTTCAGTATGCTGTTGCATCATGGGTATCCTGGCCTCCGTTAAGTTACCTCTTGAGGACTGTTATGTGTCTTACTCAATTTTCTAATGAACATACTTTTTTCAAATCTGAGAATGCAGTTTTCTGTAACTGCAAGAGAACCAGGATTTTCTGTTATGCATAAATGCTTATACATATCTTGCTTACATTTGGAAGGCACACCCTGTGTTCATCAAGTATATCCAACTGGATCAAAAACCCTTCCGTGATCTCCCATGAGGTCTTCCTAAATCTCTTTCCATGTCTTTTTTCAACCGAAACTGCTTGTATCTCTCAGCCATTGAAATTAGCTCTTCAGGAACTACCTGATATAAAATATTACCAATTATTTAATATATCAACATATCTCTATGCATTATAAATATTTTATTTAAGTACATTGTAAAAGGTTAACTTATATCCTATAAGCAAGTCAAATCGGATTGTCCCCCCAATGAACACTGTGCTAACTGTGAACAAGAGTGTATTCAATAGTTTATAGAAACAGAGTTGGAAGTGACCCTGGAGAGCTAGTACATTTACCTACTCAGTGCAAACTTTACAGTGCAAGAGCATTCCTGACAGATTGCCATTTGGCCTCTGCTTAAAATATCTCAGAATGAAGACCCAGCCACAAAGACCTCTATGTCCTTTTTACATGTACTACTGCCAAGCCATCCTAAATTTTTGTGCATTTATTTTTGTACCAACTGGAAATAGTCTCCCCCCCCCCGCCCCACTCTTTCTTTCATAGTTGAAGTATGTACTCTGGGATGTTTACAATATCTTGTTCATTTCAGTCCTGTGTTCTAACTCCTCAAAATCCTTTTGAATACTCATTTTGAAGTGTTGAAGTGTTACAATCCTTCCTAGATTTACATTATCTGCATACTGTATGCACCAGCTCCATACTTTCCATCCAGGTCATTCCTAACCATATAGGTCACATGCTGAGCATCTTAGGTACCATCAAGGTTTTGCTCCAAGATACAGAGCCCTTAATGGGCATTCACTGGGTACTTCAACAAGCTGTCCATCTACCTACCAGATATAGTGCCCATGGGAAACCATGTCAAATGTTGATTAAAACAAATATATTACACTTACGGCATTCCTATAATCCACCAAACTAATTCTCAAAAAGAAGAATAAAGTTGGTCCAGCATTACTTATTTCTGCCAAACCCATGTTGACTTCTACTAAATCAACACATTTCAAATGCTCACAGACCAACCTCTTAATAATCTATTCTAGAATTTGCGTTGTACTGACATCAGCCTGATCGGTCTGTACTTTTCTGGATCCACCTTTTTTCCCTTTTTGAAAATGGGAGCAATTGTCCATCTCCAGTTTTTTGGCACTTCACCTCTTTTCTAAGAATTCTAGAGAAGATTAGAGCAGTAGCTTTGAAATAACATAGAATCATAGTAGAGTTGGAAGGGGCCAGAAGGCCACTGGGTTCAACCCCGTGCTATTGCAGGACACCAGTTTACACCATCCCATTCAGATTGATTGTTCGGACACCTTCTGAATGTCTCTATGAGGGAAAGCCCACAACTTCCCCAGGTAACAGTTTCCATTGTTACACTGCTCTGACAGGAAATTCTTCCTGGTGTCTAGTATAAATCTGGTCTCTTTTAACTTAAATCTGTTATCCTATGCCATGCACTCTGGAATGAATGAGATCTTGTTCTTCCTCTTTGTGATAGCCTTCCAGACACTTGTAGGATGCTATCAATATCACCCCTCAGTATTTTCGAGGCTGAACATTCCAGTTCTTTCAATCTCTCCTCACAGGGCTTCATTTCCAGTCCCTGAATCATCCTTGTTGCTCTCCTCTATACCCTTTCCAGCTTTCCTGCATCTTTTTTATACTTAGGGGCCCAGAACTGGACACAGTACTCCAGATAAGGCCTAACCAGTGCTGAGTACAGGGGAACTAGTACTTCCCATGTTTTGGAAGTGAGGCTTCTGTTAATGCAGTCCAAAATAGTATGTGCCCTTTTTGTAGCTGCATCACATTGTTCACTCATACTTAGCTCATTTTCTACAACCTGGAAATCCTTCTCATTTGCAGTATTGTTGAGCCAAGTATTCCCCATTTTGTAGCAATGCATCTGGTTTCTTGTTCCTAAGTGAAGAACTTGGCATTTGTCCCAACTGAATTTCATTCTGCTCTCTTGCTCTCACAGAGCAACTGTACTAAGTAGAAGGTGACTCCACAGAACAGCAGACCAAAAAGAAAAAAGAAGAAGAAAACAGGCCCAGAAAACGTGCAGGGGAGGATGTGGGCCAACAGGAGAGGCAGGCAGGGCAGGGCACACTGGGATTGATTCCTAGCCACAGGTGCTGATGGGATACATGCTGCCATTTGGAGATAAAACAGAGGCATGCTAAAACAACTCATGAATGGTTACTGGGTAAATGCATTAACAAAGGACACAGGGTGAGATACTGTGCTATGTAGTAACTGCATGGCTTAGTTTAGTGTTATGTATGAACCTAGTCAGTGTGTGTCTTTTGAATACCAATGGATTTATCCTGTCCTACCTTCAAAGGGTTTTAATGTTTCTAACTCATTGCCTTTTGCTGTTTTTAATTAGTTTTATCAGTTGGATTGTTAATTGTGGCTTTTCTGTTCTCAAATGGATGTTTTTAATTTAATTGTAAGTCACTTGAAGCAGTGTGCACTAAGGTACACACTCGTATGATATCAAAAATACCATTCTCTATTTGTAAAAAACAAAAAGCCTGGGAGAAACTGAATACCTTGGATATGATAAGCATTACCTGGTTTCCTCTTTCCAGAATGTCAATCAATTCAGATGCAATCCTCCAGTCCTTCTTAGTCACAAGAGTTATAGCTACTCCTGTGCGCCTATGGAATAAATAAAGCTGTCAAGATTGCCAGTATTTCAAGGCTCTTTCTCGAAGGACGTGACATTTCAGATTACATTTAATTGTAACCAGTTAATAGCTATATTCTAATAAGCTACAAATTGTAATCAGCACACAAGATCAAATACAGCAGGCATATGCAAATTTATTTTATTCTGTTTTGAGATAAGTATATGCAGACATTAAGAAAATGTTATACTGCTGTAAAAATTCTTTAAGAGCAAAAACAAGTCCCTAATTTCCTGCTTCCTATACTGTACCAGGGTTAAAGCAGCATTCCAATTCTCTAAAGCTCTTCTACTGCATAGTAGCACAGCTGCACAATTTATACAGCTGGGCAGATAGGGGTGCTTTTTATGACTAGCCCTGTATAAGATTGCTTAGGCAGGAAACAACTGGTATAGATACATCAGATGGGTTGACTAGCCAAGATTATTAATTATTTAATATAAGAGCAAATTTTGTGTGGTGGTTAGGGTTCTAATCCCTATTTGAATATGAAGCTCATTGGGTCAGTCATCCGCTCTCAGCCTAACACATCTCACAGTGATTTTGTGAGGATAGAGTGGAAGAATTTACCCAAGACTATACAGTGGTACTTCGGCTCACGAACACCTCAGTTCATGACCAAATCAGGTTGTGAACAAAAATTTAAGAAAATTTTTTACTCAGGATGCGAACTCCACATCGGGTGGAGATCACGATTGTGCCCATCTCCCCTCGACCGCACCCACTATTGTGCCCATCTCCCCTCCAGCACACCTGTGATTGCGCCCGTCTCCCCCCCAGCGCGTCTATGACTGTGATGGTGGTCGTGCTTTTAAAAGTCAAATTGTTACTACACGGTGAGTTGTGTTTGTGGCACTATCCAGCATGACCAAGATCACTTTCCTCAGTCAGTGGCAGTTTAGTTCCTGCTTCCAGTTCCTCAGTCAATTTATGACCCTGTAATTCCATGACTACAAAATTCAAGAAGTTTTTTCAAAGTCCCAAGTATATTATGCCTGCTAGAAAGCCTAAGCAAAGCTAAAGTTTATGTTTACATTTTCTCAAACTTTCCCTCTGTCTCTCTGTCTGTCTCTGTGTGTGTGTGTGTGTGTGTGTGTGTGTGTGTGAGAGAGAGAGAGAGAGAGAGAGAGAGAGAGAACAAAAGCAAGAGACAGCAAGAGCCAGAGACTCACTCTTAGAAATTTACAACTTCATTTATTACTCTAAATGCGTGCCAAAACCCAGTATTACATGATGATCCATGTTTTAATATCTGGGATTGCTCTAAGCACTCATCCAGCTCAAAGAAGATTAGCACTTATTGGACTTGTTTATTTATTTATTTAGAAAATTTCTAGGCTGCCCCATTCGCCGAAGCCCCGGGGCGGCTTACAAAATTGTGCTGAGAAACAATAGTCTGTATACTCTCTTCCCACTTTAAGTACATATGTATCAAGTGCTAGTTTTGCTTAGAAAAGAGTATGCCTCATTGCCTTTTTCTTTTAAGTATAATATAAACTTGCATCTCAGCAAGGCAAATGGTTCCTAATGAGAGGGGTGGTACAGTGTGAGAGCCCAGTGAGGTGTAGTGTGGGACTGGGACCCAGGTGATTGGGTTCTAGTCCCGGCTCAGCCATGGAGTCAACTGGGTGACTTTGGGCAAGTCAGCCCAATCTACCTCCACAGGGTTGTGATATTGTCGAGCATGTTTGGATATGTTCCGTTTCCCCTCCCCCAATAAAAACAAGGCCATCTATCAGACATGGCTCATGTAAAATATGTTGAAAAACACACTGGCATTCTGCCACCCATTAACAAACATTGTAGAATTCTAATTCTCTTTCTTAACATCCAATTTACCCTGCTCGTCCAGTACGGCCTACTCTATGAACATATTCTTCAATGTTGCGAGGAAAGTCATAATTAAAAACATGAGTGATGTCTTGCACATCAAGTCCACGAGAGGCTAAATCAGTTGCTATCAGTATACGAACTCTGCCTGGAACAAGCACAAGGAGAAGTAAATTAATTACCTGAACAATATGCGCATATGGACATGACAAAATTTTGAACTTAATGGAGAAATATATAACTCATTTTACATGAAAATACTCTCTGTGCAGACATAAACCTAGATATACCTTTACTTTGGAAACTACTTTTTCCTCTTCCTTTTTGTATTAGCTTACAATACAAAACAAAATGCTTATTTTTATTTTGGTAAAATTCAGTGTAGTACTCAGAGCCTCTTAGTAAATGCAATTTAATCATAAAGGGAGGCTAATTTTTGCTACAGTACATTTGAAGGGTAGAATAAACATTCTATAATACAAATAATTCTGATCACTTGCAAGTTTACCTTTCTTGAAGTCTTCCAAAGCCTGTTCACGATCACATTGTTCTCTATTACCATGTAAGGACTGAACTGGAATTCCCTGAAGACCAAAATCACTTGACAGGTCATCAGCACTGATTAGGCAAAAATAAACACATGAATGTTTGGCTTTTTAAAATTAGGAGATTTTCTTACCGGTACTAAAAATAAGAACTCAAACTCCTGTGGGTTGGTTTCAGTTAATTACTCATGGAAGGAATCAGAAAGAAACAGGCAGTCTCTTACTCATGTTTCCTGGATTCTGCATCTACTGGAGGCCATTCCGTATTTCTGCATTACTCCCTCACTCTAAACAGTACAAAGTGTGCAATGGTGTTGGTCCTCTCCAAGAGGAAAGGCTAACTCAGACCTGCACTGAAAAGTGAAAACAATCCCCAATTCTTGCAATTTGAAAGCTATTTTATACAGCATAACTGTTCTAGAAAAGAAAAGCAAAGTCTAGAAATACACCTAGAACCAAGTTGGAATGAGCTCATGAATGTCTGGCTGCCTACCTTCAACATGTAAGGCAAAGGAAAAACCCTAAGAAGGTTACAGCAGTGTAGTATGAAGAAGAATAATCTTTCGAAGTTAGCAAGAACTGGAATGTGTAGTAATAATTTCTTGAGTCTTCTAGGTTTTTTGTATTTTAGGATACACAAAAGTAGCCCCCACTCTAGGTGGGTCTGCAGTAGAGTAAGTTTGGTTGCTTACCCATAACTACATTCTTCAAGTGGTCATCTGTGCATCCACACATATGGGCTGTGTGCCTGTGCAGGGTCTGTTGTCAGGCAGATTTTTCCGAGCTCATTTCGGCAAGAACCAAACCCTCCCCTCCCCTTGGTATAAAAGGATGGGGCTCCCACCATTTTCCCAGTTCATTTAGACTGGTGTTTTGGCCTCAGAACTGAAATGAAGTGGTTGATGATGACCCAATCCATAGTTCCCCAGTCCAGTTCTGTAACTGGGAGAAATGAGGAAAGTAACAAACATAAAGTATATTGTTGACATCCACATGGGGATGGTGAGTGGATTGTGTGAATGCACAGACAGCCACTCAAAGAATGTTACAGGAAAGCAACTTTACTTTCTTCTTGGTCTCTGTGCATCACGCATATGGATGACTAGTTAGCTTACCTGAAAAATGGTGAAGGGTAGCTGTCGTCAATGGAGGACCACTGAAAGGACTGCTCAGCCAAAGGCATAATCTTGTCTGGTTTGGACATTGAGCTGGTAGTGCTGCATGAAAGTCAATGGAGTAGACCATGTGGCTGTTCTGTAAAGTTCCTATATGCAGGAACCTGCTTGCAGTGCTATAAACATTGTGATCACTGTTGTAGAGGGTACTTTTGGTTGGTTTGGTAGCTGCAGATGAGCCAGTTGGTAAGCTAGTTTGATGGTTTCTATAACCCAGTGTACAATTTTCTGGGTGATGAGTTTACCTTTCAATTCCTTGGCATATGATACAAAGAAACTTTGTGAGCATCTGAGCAACTCGGTGCAGGACTGATAGAATGCTCTTTGTACATTGGGCATATGTGGTGCTGTTTCTATTGAGCTGGATGGAGACTGAAAGAGGGTTCTGGTAGCATGGTTCAGGTATGATGTGGTTTTTGGAAGGAATGATTGATCAGGACAGAGCACTGTTTTGTCCTTATGAAAAGCAAGGAATGGTGGGTCTACTTATAGAGTGCAGAGTTCACTTGCTTTTCTAGCAGATGTGACTGCTACAAGGAATGCAACCTTTCATGAGAGTAACCATAGGTCTATAGTAGCTAAGGGTTTGAATAGAAGCTTTGTAAGGGCCTGGAGGACCACTGATGAGCTCCAGCCCATCATGATGGAACAGATACGAGGAACGACGTTGTTCACACTTTTGAGGAAATGTTGGGACAGATGGTGAGAGAAAATGGAGGTGCTATCCACTGGTCCATGGAAGTCCGAGTACATTGCCAGGGAAACTTTGATGGAGGAGAGTTGTAAGACCTTTTGGTGCAATGAATGTAGGAAGCTGAAAATTTGTTAGATCGTTGCTTGGATTCAGTCAAATTTCTCTGTTTCAGAAAAGGTTCTTCCATTTGATATTGTAAGAATGTCTTATCCTTGGTCATAAAGCCACGTCCTGGACCAATTAGATTTCTGGATGGAAATTAATTAGATTAATGAGGTTGATAGCTGACTCTCCACACCGTCAATTGAATGGTTTGGTTGTCTGCAGGCAGAATCATCCCTCAGTTTTGACAGAAGATATCTGGTTTAGGTGGGAGATGACAGAAAGTGTGATTTGACAGGTGGAATAGATGGGTGAACCATGCCTGTCAAGACCACTAAGGAGTGATTAGAATGCAGGCCATCTTCTCTTTGCAGATCTTCACCAATAAGTGGAATGGAGGGAACAGATAGTACACTGTCCCTTCCATCATAGGATGAACGTATCTCCCATCAAGTCCTTGCTAATCCCAACATGGGAGCAGAAATTCTTACATACTGCATTGTTTGGTATTGCAAAGAGGGTTGTTGTTTCCCAGAGTTGAAAGTCTTGATTGGATCTTGGGATGGAATTCCATTCATGAGTTGATTTGGGCTGTCTGCTCATCTGCCATGGAATTTTCAGTTCCTGCTAGATGGATTGCTGTGATTGTAATGTTGTGTTCTAGGTACCAGTCCCAGATGAGCAGGGCTACTACAGGCATGTTTGTCCTGCAGTAGGTTTTAGAAGACAAAAAGGGCCTTCTGGACTGCAAGTAGTTCGAGATAGTTGATTCGATTTGAGTTTTCTTAATTGGCCCATAGCCCATAGCGTGCTTACCATCCCTTGAGTGATACAGGTTGTTGGCAATAGTTATGTCCAGTTCTGTGGTTGTACAAGCCACTCCAGTTATTAAGTTGCATGTGATGGTCCATCATGAAAGGCTTGCATGAATAGAACATGGGAGTATCAACTGCTTCTGATCAAAATCCTGTTGAGATTGGTAAGCTTGATCAAAACCATTGCTTTGTCTGTGGGTAGGTATGCCCATGCCCTCACTGAGTCCAGGATTGCCCCAGTCTATGGTATTGTCTGGGAGAGGAGAAGCATAGATGATTTCTCTGAATTAATACAAAGTCTTAATCTCTCTAGAAATTTGCATGCGGTGGAGATGAACTTCTGTAGATCTCCTGGGATGGGACAACTATGTAATAACCAATCATCCAAGTAGGGAAAGACCTGAATGCTTTTAATTGGAGGTGTGCACAAACTACTGCCATACATTGTAAAACCTGAGGAACTATGGGAAGGCCAAATGGTAGGACTGATAATTCAAAGGTATCAGTCCTGATTTGAAAAATGAAGGAAATGGCGATAGCCCTAGTAGATTGATATGCGAAAATAAGCATCTTTTAGACTGACTGAAGCAAATCAGCCCCTTGGTGTAGTAATGGTAATATGTTTTGTAGTGAGACCACACAAAATTGCTTATGTGAAATGAAGAAATTAACTAGTAGAACCCTTATAAAAGGACAGGATTGTGTTCAAAACCTCAGAGTAATCCAATTTTTGCAGCTTCTGATACTCAGCTGTTAGCTGTAAAAGCTCATTTTGAAAGTACTAGAGGCCCAAGTAGGGAGGTGCTTTTAGCAAGAAAGCCTCCAGCTGTCTTGCCATGACAGGGTGAGATCTGGAATCACTACTCTACCAGAATGACCTCCACTGTCAGAACCTTAATCTGCTGAAGCACCTTCAGGATCAGACAGACAAAGACAGAAAAAATAAACATACAAAGATAAATACACATACAGGCCATGGGCAAAGGAAAGTGTCCATGTTGGCAGCTCACTGACAACAATACTGGCACCTGATCATTTTTCAGAAGAATGAAGAGATCTTCTAAAGGCCAAAACAATGAATCATCTTAAAAAACACACATGAACATACAGCTTGCATTTCAAGTCCTGAAGTCTTCTCCTGCTGAACCAGTTCACAATAGTGTTGTGTGTCCTACCGAGATATATGACAGAAAGGGACAGGAGATGCTGTTCAGGCTAGATACAATCTCAACAGATTTCCAGACATTGCAGCTCCCTCCTTGTTGATATTAACTCTGGCAGATATAGTGACAAATCAGGATGCAGATAGAGGATCTCATTTTTAAATAACAGCAGTGATAATCCCAATACTTTCCGTTCTAGCAGGCTGATGCTCTCCTGCTTTTTTTCTTCTGACCACATCTTTTGTTGCAATCAGATCTCCAGCTGAGAAACCACAACATCTATTATGATGGTTTGAGATGGAATTATTAGGCTGATCCCCAAGTTAGTCATCTTTCAGAAAGCCACCATGTTCAACTCTTTTTGCAGTTGTTGAAGAAGCAGAATCTGTTTGTTTGGCCTGATGGTAATATCACACCGGAAAGCAAGAAGAAGCTTCAGCAATCCTGTGGCATTAAGCTGCGATTAGCCAAGATTCTGGCATAAAACCATAAGGACCATGAGTTAAGCAAAAGAGAGTAGATATGCCTCCACTGATGTTGACAAAGCTGCCCTGAGGATATATTCCAGTTTCTCTGCAGCCATAAATTTATGGATCAGAGACATGCTCAAAATCACCCACAAGTGCTCCAACTTCTTGGATGGGATCAGAAAGGTCTTGCCCATATTCTCTACAAACCTGTGAGCAGTGAGGCAATTTGCATGGGTAGTCTGCATGTACTCTCTCTTTACTCCAAGGAGGAAGTTTGGATCAAAGTATCATCCAAGTACCAATATAGACAGATAGCCTGCACCTGCAGATGGGCTACCAAACCTTTGGTGAACATTCATGGGTTAAGGTTAGACCAAATGGCACTGCCCTATATTGGCAGCATCTAAGCTTGCAAACAGAACATCTGAATCAGTGAGATGCTTGGTTATCTATATGCAAGTAAACCTTACACAGATCTACAGATACCAGGAAATCTTGCTTCAAGTAGAGTGCCATCTGTATTTCAGAAGGATTTAATTTAGCTAATGGCTTGTACATCTCCACTGTCCTGGAGCCTGCTCTATAGCCCCAAAATGACTTCCAGAATAGCTTGGCGCTTGAGTGGACTGCAAGACCAGATTGAACAAACCTGCTCCAAGGTTTCCGATGAAATTCAACAGCATCCCTAGGGTTAATCTCTTGGACAAAAATGTCATATCTGTGATCAGATGGAAGCAAAATGAAAAAGGCACCCTTCACTGCTGCGGAACTCCAGTTGACATCAGGAAGATAGCTTGTAGGACCCCTTGATGAAAGAGAAGAACCCTCTGGAAGAAATAACTTGTCTTATAGGCACCAAAAGGACCAGTCTTCTGTGGGAAAACCAAAGATCTAAAAATATGTCAAAGCCTCAATTTCTTCTTTCTGAAAGAAAGTTAATTCTTTCCACCAAAATACAGTCATGGGGCTCACCAAAAAATTAGATCCTAAGAAGCATGCATGTGAGAGGCACCTGAAAGTTGCCTTGGTAACCGTGAGCTACCATTATATGCAAACAAGGTTTATGGGGTTTCATTCCAGGAGTCCTCCTGCAGGAGTCAGAATCCAGCTCAAACTACATGTTAAAATAATTCCCAGATAAGCCAACACTAAATTTTGAACAAAACCAAACTAGCCTGCAGTAGCAGCAACATACAACAAACAACAGGAAGAATTAAAACAGAGACAAGAGGCCAGTATGTGCTAGAGGAAAGAACTGGTTATTCCATGGTTATAGGTGTCTAACAGTTCCTTGTTCTTTATACTGCAAGTGTACAATACATAATTAGAAAATGTATGAAAATTATTAAAATTATCAGTTGCTAGAAATGCTAAAATATGATTCAAAGCAGGAAGCATGGGATAATAAAAATGACCTTACCAAAGACCCACTGCTACAGTTGGCAACAGGAGGCTAGATAGACTGTTTGTCTTACTTTATGCATATATTCAAATTGTATATGTTAATATACATAAGCACAGGTCTGATTTATTATCATTTCTGTAAGGTTTCTTCTACATACGTAAGTTTCTTTCCCACAAAAATGATGATTTTGTCTCCAGATTTCATAGCATCAATGAAGTAACGTGTGAAGGCTCTTTTTTCTTCTTCTGGAATAACAACAATCTTCTGCTCTACTGTATTTACTGCCTGTAAAACCAAATTCATCAAAAGAAAAGCTTAAAATCTCATATCTAACACTCTCAAATGTTTCACACAAAATCATACACACTGAATTATGGGGTGTTTCCAGATAAGTCTTCTGATGCACCATTGCTCTGGGAAGAAAAGATGGAATTGCTTTACAATGCCTTCTTATTGTAAGTGTAAAGACCTGTCCTCCTGGAAGAATTATACTGGAAGCTGTTTTCACCCAGTGTTAGTATAAGAATGGAAGAATCTTAGATTTTTTTGCCAATTCAGATATTATGCACAGAGACATTAAACATGCCACCCAGAACTGACCATCAACTTACAAAATGTCTAATTATCTGATATTTACATGACATAAATTCTACCTAAATCAATGCTCTATAGTTTAGCATCAACATGGAACTAAAGAACCAAATAACTATCACTTCCTTCATAAAATTGCATTCTGCTTTAGACTGCAAACCATAAAGTAGAGAATCTAGATTTGAATTTATACAATTCCTCAATCCCATGTCAAATGCAAGGACTCTTTTTTAAAACCAACTGGAGAAAGAGCCAAGACTAACCGTCCAAAGAAAACTGATGTGAAGAAACATGACCAGAAGTCAGACTTAAATCTGTGGTAAATCTTCTGCTTTCTGAATCCCTGAAAGGAGAATTTATTTCCAAGGATTTAAGAAACTGGTGAAAAGAGCAACTGTTCTAAATAAAATTCCTCTGCTGTGTATTGATACAACATCTAACACCATGTTTTCTGGTGGTATTAAATATTGTAGTCAAAAGACTGTCAGGAAAGGAAACCAAGCCATATATGGGAAATTGAACATATGCTACTGATTGTCAAGTCAAAAAGTTTTGATTTTTACTTTGGCATTAGATGAGACTGATGACATTATAGACACTGCTCAACTACTAATATTTATCAAGGGGACAGATTCCAACTGCAGAATTATAGAAGAATTGTGTGCACTACAGTCTGAAAGGCACTACAGCTGCAGAAAACATTCTTGAAGGTGCGTGAATCAGTAGGAAATCTTGGTCTGAGTTGGGATAAATTGAAAAGCATCACAACTGATGGTGCAAGAAATATGGTGGAAAGTAAAACTGGTGTAGTTGCAAGGATCAATGAAGAGAGACTGAAATTAAATGGAACACTTTTCATTCATCAGCAGGCCTTGTGTCGTAGGATTCTCCAGTGGGAAAGCATGATGCATATTGTTGTACACAGCATTAACTGCATCATGGGCTTACTCATCATCAATTTCAAAATTTCCTCTCAGGGGCAAAGTCCTTAGCAGAGGCAAAGTCCTGAAACATTTTTTCAGTCTTCATCATGAAATTGATCTCTTCACGGAGAAAGAAAAAGGTCAATAAGTAATTCCTGACCCTGGAGGGATTTTTGATTTGGCTTTCTTAACAGAGCATCTGAATATTTGTCACACACAAGGCTGCAGGAAAAAGGAAAGCTTGTGTGTGACATGTATTCTGAATTGAAAGCTTTTGAAGCAAAACAATGTTTTCTGGATCAAGTTAGTGATAGTAACTTTTCAAACTTCTCATGCTGCAATGAAATAAAATTTGAGAAGGACAGGAATTTGCAATCCAGTGTAGAAAGACACATCAAATCACTGAACCTATTGCAGGTAGAATTCCAGAACAGATTCACTGATTGCCATAAGCATGGAAAGGAAATAAGAATGTTTCAAAATCAATTTGAAGTAGCACCAGAAGATGCAGATAACTTTTCAGATGGAGCTGATTTGCAAACCAGCAATCATCTCAGAGACATTTACAAATAAAATAGTCCATTAGATTTCTATTGTGGTCTACCTGATATATTTATCAACCTAAAGAAAGTTGCTGCAGGCAGGTTCACAGTCTTTGGCACCACATACATCTGTGAACAAACTTTTTCCAAGATGAAAATTGTGAAATCCAAGTGTAGGTCAAGGCTTACAAATGAACATTTACAGGGCATTTTAAGAGTGCCTGTCACAAACCTTGACTGTTTTTGCATATGCAACACCCGGTTGTTGTGTGGTGCAAACATGGGGAACATGGGTTACATGAAGTTTAAGCAAATTTTGCATAACCCGGTAAGGATTAAATATGTGAGGACTGTTTAACCACTGCATAACCCGTAGCCTGCAGGTCTGAATGATATAAGTTGCAATAAGGCACTCAATATTCAAAACACTAACCTCATACACCACAGTCCACCATGGCTAAGTAAGTCATGGTAGACCATTCAGATCATACGATGAAGTTGTCCACTGGGTGAGAGAAGAGGAGGGAAAAAGTAACTGTCAATCAAATGTCACTATGTAGCCTACATCTATCTACAGTTGGAGACCTGGATCAGAGGGTAACCTGCTTAGCATGACATGACAGCTCGTCACTGCTTAATGATGCACTTGTGCAATGCCAGGCATGGGGGCCTGCGTGCTGGCCACTTTCCCTCTGGAAGAGATGTGGTGAGGCTTTTGACACATACACCTCTCTGGCAGCAGCAAGAGGAATCAACTGGAGAGTTGAAGTGAGGAAGCTCCTTTTTGGCCTGGCTGCTACCACTGGGCTTCCTCCTGCCCCTGGGTCTTCAGCCTGTCTCCACACCAAAGTTGCTGTTCTTCCCTGAGCTCTCTCATCTCTTCTTTCTTCTCTTTTCATTCTCTTTTTAATTTTTTTGCTGTTGTTCTCATGCTGCATAAAAAAGCCCCCAAAGTCTGCCTCTCACTCAAGGCAAAAACAATGAGAGTTTCTCAGGGATGTCTTGCCTCCTCCAGGAAGTTCAGATCAAGTCTGCCTTGACAATCCTGGAGGTTGAGTCTCCTATGCTTGAGGGAGAAAAGATAGGGAAACAAAAAGACATCCTTTCCACTTACCCATTTGTTTGTTCTTTCTCATTCAGATATGCTTTTAAAAGAAAAAAACCCACTACTTGGAAATTATGAACCTGACAAGCATGGTGACACCCTTTTTGTGCGCATTTCTGATTGTTAGATGGGAAAAATAAATCCATTTAACTAATATATGCTGTGATTTGAAAGTTAATGAAAATGTCTGTTTCTGAACTTGTTCAAACTCTTTATACATTATCTTTCCATTTTAGTGCTTACTTTTAATAATCCATTAACTAAATTATTTTCAGTTCTAATGTCTTGTTATACGAGTATAGCTAGGTTTCATACACAGCTCAAGAACAGACAGTGTCCAATCTAAGCTAACAATCTCTTTATTTGGAAACAGAATCATAGGAGTAATACAGCCAAAAATAAAAAGCAACTCACCGCTAAATCAAGAGTACCAACATACACTATCATAGGATCTTTCAAATATGATTTTGCAAGACGACGAACACCATCTGGCCATGTGGCACTGGTAGAAATGAAAGGGAAATCGTTTTGGAAACATTTCAATCCTACTACCATCCAGATTGATTCTTTTGTTGTTTCCACCCCAGAGATCAGGTCAGTTGCTGAAGTGAGTCACCTTGTGCCAGTGGCAGAAGAAAAAGCTACCATGTGCCCATCAAACTTCATTTTATCTCAACCTAAAATTGCTCTGTGAAAGTATTAACTATGTCATATTTACTTCCATTTTTTCTTCTGAAGAGTTCATAGTAGCATACATGCTTCCCTTTCCTATTCCTATTTTATCCTTATACTTAAGAAATATTGACTGGTCAGTTAATGATCCTCTTGACTGAGTAAAGCTTTAAACATAAAACTCCCGGTTCCTAGTCCAGTATTTTAATCAGTGTATCTTCTTGCAAAATTGTACATACATGTAGATCACAGTTATCTTCTAAGCTTACACCAAATTCTCCATATTTTTGGCTATGCAAAATAGTTAGCGACCTAAGCACTTTCCATATAAAAGAAAAGAAACTAACATCTTTCCAACCCTCATCCTCAGGGACTTTCTTACAGGTTTACACACAAGTGCATGGAATATCATAGATTACCTCAAAGATGTAAAGATGAACTAGGATACAACAGAAGGGATAGTTTTGAAAATGCACTGACATCTACAGTTCACCTTAGCAGGGTAAAGTGGACAGAGCAGTCTGAATTGGATTCTTTAAACTGTAATTCACTTTGAAATTTCAATTTGAAAAAAAAAAAAAAAAAAAAAGGAATTTTCAGTTCATATACATTTCCATTTTCCACTGAGTCCACAGGGCAATTTATGACTAGGGAAGTACCTCCTGGTCAGAAAATGAGATTATCTGACTTCCCCAATGGAAGGGTTTTATCATCCTCCAAGATTCAAACAACAGGAAAATACCACTCCCAATATAAAAACACAGTTAATTGGAATGATATAAATTGTCAGACACTGAACAGAGATAGTATAGTGCCTATTTCCATATATGCCTATTAGCAAATTCCAGCTCCAATACTGCAGTCAGGAGGATGCCCTCTGGACTCGAGATAGAGTCAGATTTTTGTTTTCTTCCTCTGGGATTTGGAAGAAAGACATGCAGAAGAAGTAATGTATCTAGTGTGTGGTTCCCTAGCTTTCTTAAAACGAATTGCAGGATCTTTCAACCAAATATTTGGGTTGCTGATGTGAAAACAACTAGGCTGATTTTTAAAAATAAGTATAGGAAGCTTGCTTACGTGTAACTGACATTCTTTAAGTGGTCATCTGTGCATTCATATATATGGGCTCTGCATCTGTACGGTGCATGTATTTGGAAAGATTTTCCTATCTAAGCTAAAGTTTTGGCAGGAGCTCCACTCTCTCCCCCTCTAATATAAGTAGGAGGTGCTCCTATAATTTTCCTCTGTTTAAACAGAGTCCAACATTTTGGCCCTGGAACCAGGGGTTGGACCAGAAAAGGCCCATTCTCCACATAATGGCACAGATCTGCTGAGGGAAAATTAAGGGACATGAAAGTGAAAAATAGGAAAAACAAAGAACTGGTGGGTTGTGACTGCAGATAAGCACTCGAAGAATGTTGGTTATAGGTAAGCAACCTTCCTTTCTTCTTTATGGTCTCTGTGCATCACACATAAGGGTGACTAGCAAGCGTACCACAGAATGGAGGTGGGAGGTATCATCATTGGAGGACTGCAGAGAGGATGTCTAGGCTGAAGGAGTAGTCTAACTTCACATGGACATCAAGTTAGAATGAGGTGGGTCAGGGAAGCTGAATGGGTGCCACCTTGCTTGTTCAGATGGAACACCACCATAGTATTCTCCGATGCAATCTGAACATGCTTGCCCTCAAGGAGCCACTGGAATGTGAACAACACGTTCTGGACCATGAGGCGCTCAAGGTAGTTGATATGGTATCCATGGTCCTGTTTGGTCCACAGGCCTTGTTCCCCATGTAGTGCACGCCTCATCCCAGGAAAGATGTGTCTGTTTTTAAAGTCAGGGATAGTTCAGTTGGGGTGAAGGTGATCTTGTTCACTAGGTTACATTCGTTGTTCCACCAGGAGAGGTTTGCTGTGACAGAATGGGGGAGCGACAAGTGCTTCCTGACTGAGTCTCTTTCGGGTTGGTAGGCTCAGACAAACCACAGTATAGGGGTCAGATTTGCAACCTCATGAATTGGACAATTGTGACTGTGGAACCCATTGAACTTGTTGGACCTTCATCCTGGGTTCAAGCTGGAAGTGCAGGACCACAGTAATTGGTCCTGTTGAGACCAAGGGTTGAGACACAGTTCAGTGGAAGGTATGCTCAAGCTGCCACCAAATCCAAGCGTGCTCTGATGCACAGGATCGACTGGGAGGGAGAAGGAGAAATGTCTCACTGTTAATAGTGAGCCCCAGTTTGTCCAAGAATTTATATGTTTCTCAAATGTAAGCTAACAGTTCTTCCTTAGATGGGACAACTAAAAGGCAATCGTCCAGATATGGGAAGACTTGAATTTTGTGTTATTGGAGATGTGTGC